AAAGCCACCAAAATATCAGTCTCAGAAAAATAAGAAATTATGTCAACAATTACGGGCGCGTGTGGCGCAGTGGTCGGAGGGGCCCTGCAACATACACGTGGAACCGATCCCCGTGCCCATAGCCCCCCAAGTCTTCCATCTGGGGTCGGCAAATTGGTACCAGACTTGTCTGGGACGATAGCAGCATTTCCTCGATAGGCCACCATGAGTTATTGGAAAGGATAGATATGAAATCAAATGCATGGCGCATCCCTCAGGGGTTGATCAACAACGAGAGCTTTATCCTTTTATTCTTATATCAAAAATCATGTGTCGGCTTGTCTAGAAAGGGTCGCAAAAATAAAATGACTTGTTGTTTTAAAGGCTTGACAAGGTTTTTTCTTTAGAGACTCAGGAAATAGTTACCAATTCATTCCTAGGTTGCCACGTCAATTCGTGGCGGCGATTTCTAGGACTGGTTTAGCGTTTCCTGTAGTTTTGACCGGAATTATTATAATTTCTCATAAGTGAATGGTATTCTTATCAGAATGGTCCCTGCTTCAATCACCGCTAGACACTAGAATTACACCTATTCACGACGAGCTAGTGAAATAATGGGGTGGTGGAGTAGAAGACGGTTTATGTCTGATTTTGCAACTGTCATAACACCGTCATGATATTCTGCAAACTTAGTCCTTGAGTACAACTCAGACGTGCTTTCACTCCAATCAGGTGAACAGAGCAAAGATAAAAGTTAAAACTCTTGACGTTGATCGATCGCTAAGGATGCGCCATGCATTCAATTTCGTTAAGCATCGTTAAAGGTGACTGAATGCACATTTGGCGTATACATTGGCTTGCGGTGGCCTACCAATGAATCGAGTCAATGCTGCTATTCTCCCGGACAAGTCTGGTACCAATATGGCGAACCCGGTGGAACCGAAGGCTTGGTGAGACTTGGGCGCAGGATCGATCCCATGCCTATTGTAGGGTGCCTCTAACCACTGCCCAACAACCACCCTGAATAATGAATAAATATAGAAAACAACAGCAAATCTCTATTCGGGACTTATCTGAAAAGCAGTTGATTCATATGTGAATAGTACGGGCCAAAGTCGTGTGTTTTCTTTCCGGTTTTCTTTTTCACAAGTTGCTTAAAAAGTTCTAAGGATAGCCATCATCAATAGCTTGCAGGTATTTTTTGTCACAACAAAATTTCACTTGTTCAAAAATAATTTTACTACGTTATAGTTTATGTAGCAAATAGGAAACTCTCTTTTCCACTGCAGTTCTACAACATATTACCGGCTGTCCTGGGTTTCTTATCCGGTATTGTTTTCACCCAGTCACACCATTTCAGGTGGCATCGTGGACGCGGGCGTTGTTCTAGTACATTCATAACGACACTCGAAGATTTCGGTTATGGATCGTTTTATACCATTTCCTGTTCTAATCGATTGTAAGCGAGTTTCCATTCATGGTGAAGTATCATGAGTCGTTAATAAAAATTTCATAACGTTTCTTACCTCCATTGTTGAACAAGTGGTAACTTGGATTTGATTTCTGTCGCCTATTTACAAGCTTTATTACTGCTGAGCCTGGTCTCCCTGACCTCGGGTGTCAGAATCAGAAAGGGACAGTGCGTGTCAGATTGTCGTGAAGCTTATCTCGTTTACGATCGTCGATTGGCATCTGAGACGTGTAATCGCTATTTCGGTGTTCACAACGAAACTGCTGAACAAATCCCACGTCTATGAAATTCTTCGCTACTACATCAATATAATGGCTCACAATTTATGCTGAAATCCCTTTCCTAGTCTCAATTTTCGCCCTAGTTGAGCACCGAGAGTGAAATGAATGTCCACTTTATTCGAGAACATCCTTAGCACCAACATTTTTGTGATGCTTGATGTTTTCTGCTTAAAACTATTCCTTGTGCTAGTGTTTTCTATTTCTTATTTTTTCGCTATAATTTCGTACTTATATTCCCAAGCCATTTCGAATTATGAAAGAGACAAAAAACTAAAAAAGGAATGAGTTGTTCAACACACTCTAAAATTTCCTTTATGGTCCCTAATGAAGGAATGAGCGTTGTGGGGTTCAGCAATTCTGGAAAACCGTTTAAAAAACACGGGGGAGCCCACCCGTAGCACTCTGTTTACTTGTCGTTTGAAATCGCTGTCTAATTACGACTTGAACATGGAGTAAGTAATTGACCGGTTAATGCACCTACTTTTAGTAGGATGGAGTCCACGAAGTCATTGGTGGTCGTCTGTTACAATCGAGAGAAGATCGTTGAGGGAAACTCTGAAACAAACACGACCAGGTTGAAAATAAGTCCAAACTACGTATAATATACTGTACATCGAAACAAAAAAACTCACCAGTACTGTTCCTATTGTAAACCGCCCTCTAATCCATGCACTCTATGTTTTGCAACTTATTTAACACCTAGCACCAAATGCACCGTGCTCAATGTATGCCCGAGAGCAAAGCAAGCGAAGTGCATTCAAATCCTCTCCTTTATCGGTGGTTTGTTTTGATAGGCAGAGTTTTCAAATCAAACCTTGTATTTAATGTGATTGAAATCTTGGTTTAGCATTCTCTGTTTGGTTGTGGAGTGTTTGGCCGGGTAGATTGCAGTCAACTTGACCTTTCCAGGCTCTGAGGAAGGCGAAATCCGCCGAAACGTCAGCTTGTTTTTGAATGAAGAATAAAATAACACGTCGAGTTTGCTCAAGAAGAATATAAAGAACTTTGTATTTAGGTTATCTAGTCAATAGATCGTTTAACAAAGATCTTTAGTCAGGCGCATCCTGTGGACAGTCTTTAACAATTTCTCTAACTTTAAATACTCATAAGAAAGCAGTAACTTCTTGGGTTGTTAAGCTTAACACGAGGTTAATAAAGATGTTTGCTCGGATTACTTTTCGACATATTCGTCCTCATGTGAGACGATGATCCGAGTCGATGATCCGCATTCGTTCATTTTTTCGATGTGGCCTTCGTCGCCGTACGAAGTTGGATCTTCTACAGTGGAACACCTCGGATGAGGTAAACTCACCCGGCAGCGCTCTTATTTACAAGACGGTTGTTGTTGATATGACTATCCTACGACTGAGTACGTTGATATTCTTCACTAAAAAAATTATAAGAAAGCTTCTTCGCGATGTGTTCATTGAGCAGGGAGATACTATTGTTGTTAAAGGCCGTATTCACCGCAGATACTATGCCCGTTGACGAAAGCAGTGAGACACGTCCTCCTATGTACTGCTTCAGTACTGAAATTCAAAACTTAGAGACACATTTTCAACTCAACAACTTCTTATGAGGAACAACTTTTTAACTCCAAACTTGCATTTTTTACCAAAGCATGTGAAGTTTCTGTTATCACTATTCAAACAGCCTAAAAAATAACGCTTCCTTCAGCAGTTGGATGTGATGCTTTGTAGCAGGTTTGGAACTTACTTGACGTTACCTTCTGACATCCGGCTCGTCGCCTCCGTGCTCTCGACTCACTGCTAAGGCTTTCCTCAGTGAAAAGAGAAATGCAAATAAGCACTCGCACTTCAACATAATGAATGAAGTCTTGAAGTCATTCAACTAGGCTTTCGGTACATGCACGCTATAGACATCCATACGTCAGCGAACATGCCGTTGATATGCCGTTTTCGTTGTTACATTCAATAAAGAGTCGCTCGATATTCAACACGATGTTCTGGTATTTGCACCATTAGGACGATCCAACAATCTCTATTCTATAGTTCTGGCAACTCATCTGCCTCTCAAGCCTTCTAGCCTTTCAGAACTTATAAAGAGTTATAATGAATAAGTATCGTACATACATTATGTAAAGTATGGTATGTAAAAAAATTGAATTGGTTTTTATTTTTTATTTTATATGACCCGTCGTATGGCAAGGTCGTTGGAGGCACCGCTGCAACACACACGTGAAATCGATCCCCGCGCCCATGGCCCACCAAGCCTTCCATCCCTCCGTGGTCGGTAATAGGTACTAAACTTGTCTGGGAAGATAGCAGCACTGGCTCGATACATTGGTAGGCCACCGCGAGTCACTGTAAAGGCCAGATATGATATCAATCACCTCCAACGATACTTTGTGAAGTTGAATGCATGGCGCATCGCTCAGGGATTGATCAACGTTGACAGCTTTATCATTTATCCTTTACGACCCTTCATCACGTCCAGCATTTTCACATTCGATTCGTTTTCTTTCAGTCATTGTCCAGGAAGACCTTCCAAATTTACGTCTGGCTTCGGTTGCTGCTTGAGGATTTTCATTTCACCTTGGATGTCGTAAAATGTTGGTCGAGCAGTTCTCCTTGGAGTCCTGAGATAAACTGGCTGGAGAGTTCTCAGTTCGATTGCAGAGAGTGATTTTTTTTCAGACAAGTCTTGTTCCAATTTCCAAATCTCGGAAGGAAGAAAGGCTTGGTTGGCCCGGAACGCAATCGAACTAGCAAGTGATGACGGTCACCACTACCACTCTGCTATCCGTCCCCTGTTGAATTGCTTATCTTTAATTAATTGTTATTTCGCATCCAATCGCTTTGATAAATCTTGGCTATAGGCAGTTATAAAAACACGCTACAAAACACTTTCAGTCAGTTTTAGCAGTGAGGTTAACTTGTGAGTGAAAGTCTCACATAGTGAATAATTACATAGTACTGGTAACATCTACAGCGATACAACTAACCCTCCATCATTTTGTTATGCTCTAAGTCCTAAAGTTTGCAATCCGTCCAGAAACAATCATCTGTTATCAAAAAATCAGAATTGTTTCCATGTACTGATAGCGAATGGAGGACAAGTTCGAGTCCTAACCAGCATATCATCAGGTAGCCACCTAAGAGGCATCCACCCAAAAATCAGCATCTGGCTTAATGTGCTAGAGCAACACGGTTAACAAAATGGTGCGCTCACAAAATAAGCATTAACGAGCTCGGCTAAAACTTAACGAATTCGTTTTGAGTTTGGGCTCTATTTTAGTCACCTTCCAAATGTGGAAGAACTCCATCCAGGTAAATCGCTTCCATATTGGAGATGAGAGTGAAACCCAATCTTATTGATAAATTTGTATATTTTTGTTCCATAGAAAGGCTGAAGACTATCGAAGTGACCTGCAAGGGATTAGAGCCGTGTCGATCGTTGCCGTACTCGGATTTCATTTCTACGCGGAACATTTTCCCAATGGATATGTGGGAGTCGATCAGTGAGTGGTTTTATTCGCGTTGTCAAATTTACGTGTGCTGAATTACTCTCCTTTATATTGATTTAAATAAAGCTGACACGACTTTTTATCGCGAGTGAGATTTCGGTAACGACACCATCCTCTGCCCTCATTGAACCGAGTCCAGCAGCTGTTACACCATATATTCCCAACGATTTTGTTAAGATAACGACAAATTTAGTGGAGTGGAACACAGTTATATTAAAATGACGTAGCTCGATATGGTGTTTTTTGTTTAGCTTGATTCAGCTTGGTGATTGTTTATTTAGAATAGGCCAAGTCGATTTTTCAATTCTCTTTGATGTTTAGCTTCTAATTCCCATCAATGGAGGTTGTTGGGTTCACGTATGGGCTAAATTACGTTGTGCTGTTATGGCGGACTCCCTGTTCATTGACGTTTTGAATATCGGTAAAGTATGGTTTCCCTGGAATCCATTGGTGACCTTCCTAGGCCGTTCTCGTTCTTAAAGGCAACTCCTTAAAGTTTAGAAAGAAATTTGCTGTTCTGCTACTAAAATTTTCTTCCTACGACAGCGACTTTTTGAGGATATTCCACGTCAGGGCTAAATGCAGAACGAACTTTGCGAAAAATCAGGCCAAAAATTAAAATTCGACTTTGTTTAACTTTCTGTGTTTTCGAAAGTATTATGCAGCAAACGTTCCTTATTAGAGTACTCAGAGTACTCGTTCTTGAATTTTCTGTTGGAACAATAAGAACGACGGTCTGGAAAACAATCACAAAATGGATAAGGAAGGCTCGGTTCGACATGTGAAAAACTTCCGAAGTTTATGATTTATCTGTACGGATGCATTTTGAATAATAGAAACAAAACAGGTGGAGATACGAAGCAGGAATACAAACAGCAAAAACGAGAAGAATCAACATTACGTGGTTCACAGGAGCTGGACTACTTTTTGAGAGTTCAAATAACTCAACCATAGTGATTGGAAAAGTGTTGAAGCACTTATAAAGCAAGCCCAGTATACGAACTTAAATCTTGCCTCTTTATTTTTTGTCATGGAATAAAAGTATTGCAGATTTTTCGTCCTATCAGGTTTCCTGATGTCCATGATGTTGGAACGGAAAAAACGCCTTGGATTTCAAGAAATCACGCAGTTCTACTACCGTCGAGTACGGCGCATTCTGCCTTCGTATTTACTGGTTATTCTGCTCTCCCTCATAGCTTCTCGTCTTATTCTTTCACGGTACTTACAAGCCAGCAACTGGGAATCGGCCTTTTATGCGCTAACGTTCACTACGAATATCAAAGCCGCTGACAGCATTAGAAACTACTTAAGGATGGTAAGTCTAGCAAGCCCAAAACCTGAATTGCCTCATTACATCTTTCTAAAACATTTCAATAACTAATGGAACATAACGAATACTGTTTCGCCTAACTCTTACGATCGTCAAGACTTTCAGATATCGAAAGCGAGTGATCTCTTCACTCACACATGGTCGATAGCTTTAGAAATGCAATTTTATCTCATAGTCCCAGTACTTTTCATTATCTACAAATCGATACATAGGGCAGTGGCCAATCTTTTTCTGATAACCGTTGGTAAGAAACTATTAACAGTATTTTCAAACTTTTTCCTTTTCATTTTTGAAATTACATACCATTTCTCCCAGTGGCTAAACTCGGTGTGGCTGGAAGAATTCCCCTGAATGTTGAAAAGTGATGAACAACAGACAGTTAATTACCATACAAGGGTACTGAATATAGCGCGCAGCTTCACGTTTCCTTCCCGTAGTAAGACTAAGAGAAAACTTTCTGAGCTAGATGAGCTCTCCGTAGTTCGACTTCATAACAATACTGCTTATGGATATGTATTTGGTTCAACGCAGCCCCCAATCAAAAGAAGCGGTTGATTAGCTTAGACACGCAACCGGGCCAGTTGTACAAAATAGGGAAGCCATTGTCGTGGATCATTTCACAAAATGTTAACTGCGTACCTTTTGTTGGGCTCCAATTCATTGCCTCCTGGTCGATTTCAAGATATCTGAATCTCATCGCATAGAAATCGACGTTTTTCAACATCAACATCGCAAACGAGATCCGCTCCATTAGTTGCTACTCAACAACCTGTGGACGAAAGTTTTGAAAAGCCGAAGATATTGCTTTCGAAATTGCCCTAAAGCCACCATTTTACACCGAATCTGATCACCGCTTTCTTTTTCGAAGAATTCGATTGTCCTCAAGATGCAAAACTACACCTATCGTTATCCGACAAGAAAATGACATGTTGTAAATGATGAATACATTCCTAGTGAAACCATTTCTTTAAACAAGTACTGAATCGGAAAAGACCAGTAGAAGGTAAGCTGCATGTTGGCTCGGTAATAGTCGCACGCAACACTCCGCAATTCCTTAATCCGAAAATTTGGATCGCATCTCCACCACTATCAAGGACTAACTCAAGAAGAGCAAAAACCAAAGATGGGAAAATGAAGTTAGATCGGTCTCAAACAAAAGATTTCGTATGAAAGCCTACAACAGTTTAGGTTATAAAGAAAAGTTTAACACTCCTAATCTAATCTGAAAGAAAAGTCTAATCTCCGCCTTGTTGCGGATTGGACGACTCCTAATTTTCTTTCTTCACGGATTTGCTGGTTTTTTGAAAACAAATAATAATTACAGTAATGCTGAGATATTTTCGAAACTCTGGACCACAGGTGTCTACGGTGGGCAACACGGTATTACCCTTTTCAGGGGTTAACGCGTTCACCAGCGCGCGCAAATAATTTTTCAATAGCTAGGCGAATTGGTCCGTTTCGAACATGGTTGGATTGTGGGAAAGAATTTGTTATATCCTTTCTGCAAATATGTATTATATTTATGCTGCTATTTATTATATGTTTTTTTACTATGTTTACTATTTACTATGTTCTTTAATACAAACACATTCTTGTCAGCATTTCGAATTGTCTGGGAACCTATGGGTCTCCATTTCAGTATTTTTGTATCGGCATACTTTCTGTAACAACTATTATTTATTGTGGGAACTAGAAATAAACAATTTTTAAGAGCAAGGCATAGATATATGTATTGCATAGTATTGGAATTTACAAAATTTTTCTAAATTTCTTGGTACAGAATAGACCTTTTCCCAACCAACGCCCAACACAACAACAGTGTTCAACAAGATATTGATTGATAGCAAGAGCCTCAGGAAAATAGTTCTAGTGTTAGAATAAACCGCACAAAATATGAGATCCAAATGCGTCGTACCGGCCACTCCCTCAAAACCACTATGACTCGTAGAGGTGTCGCTCGTCGAGAGAGTGTTAAAGCAATTCTGTTAAAAGTTTTACGACAGCAATGCTTCGATAACATCCTTGATTAACGAAAATTGGACTTTTGTCACTAGTCAGCATAGTGTGGAATTGATAAAGGAAAACTTTTACTGCAATCGACTCCACGTTATTACCTCATATTCAAAGCACGAAATCACTTCTTGAGAAGTGCTGGTTCGAATTTGCTTTTCTGAAGACTTGGTTGCTACCAGAGCTTGAACGCATAGCTCCAGAACTAATTAATACCACCATCGATTTCCATACCACTGAATGCAACCATTGTGGGAATATATCATCAAGAAGGAAAGATTTCCAGACATTGACAAATGTTGCAGCATTCAGAATTCCCGAAGCTGTTTGTCATTGTAAATGGGAGAACAAACTGCTTTTTTGTAATCCTATCGGGAAAAGATGTAGTGTAACGAAAGGCATTCTCGTTCAAGTCGTTTGCAGCAGCAATCCCAGTGACGCTTGAACAACTCAACGAAACGCCAAAAGCTTTGTGACTGTGAAGAAATTCTAAAAGACTCATTTCATAGAAGATCACTGACTGATGAAAAACAAATCGAGATAAGATCCCGCAACGAACAACCTAGGCGATGAGTGTATGTCACTCTGCTCACTTCTCCCCTTAAGGGGGATACAGAAATCGAAAGCAATAGATATATAGAAAGGTCAAACAATGTGAAGAGATAACGAGGTTGGAAGAGAAGAACCGTAGAATTGACGCCAAGTTAGTACTTCAAGTGCCTAAACGATGAGTGGAAATGTTTGTCACTCAGCCTGTATTCCCATCTGGAAACGACTTATAGACCACGAAATGACGGCACTTGCCGCCTTCTTTACGAGGGTAGACAACATGGATTGAACAAATGACTGGTGTCGATGTGGCATGGAAAATGGAACTATTAGGAAATAGGATTGTTTACGGACAGCTCGTGAAACCAAACCATTATTCAAGTTTGTGTTAACAAAGGCTTCAGCCTTTCTTTTCAATTTTAGCCACTCTTTCAATCCAGTGTTTACTATATTGTGTAGAGCCTTCCTAATATTTACAAAGAGTTTGCCGAATTGTTGACGATAAGCTTTTCAGGTACAATTTCTCTTCTATTTTATATCTTTCTTCCTACTTCCTATGCATTCAACATGGTTCATGCAAGACTGTGGCAATTCATTTTGGGTGAGCTTGAATATTCTTCTAAATGTTCAGTTGACAAATATTTGTTAAAAAAACTTTGGTGACAGTTTTCACGTACAGTCTCCTACACTCTTCGAATTTTCTCTTGTAACTATCATCTACTGAAGCAGTTGGGTGGTCGTGCAGAATAATTTGTGAGGGTGTATGGACTTCGGCGCATGTAGATATGTATTTTATGAATATGATTGCCTTTTCTTACGGAAGGTATATTTTGGCTGTGCATTACGGAAGGGATCCAAATGGATATATATATATGTATATATATATATATATATATCCTCCCAACTCGCATGGTGGTAAATCTCCCTCTGATCCACAAGGGCTGCGACTGCCTGCCGTGGTGAAGACCTTGGGCAGACTTTGGCCAGGCTGTCGTCGGGATTCCAGAGAACCACAATAGCTTAACCAGCAAATCTCCGAGAAATGGCAATTATTCTGGAGCCCGCACAACTAGTTATGACAAGCCGTTCAAGTATCAAGTAAGTAAGTATTAAACAATAATGATTTGTGCATTTGCTGAATTGCTGTACGCTGGTCAAGGATAGAATCTCAAGATATTTTCGAGCGTTCTCAGTTTCTTTCCACAAACGTTGACCGGTATTTGTAGATCAGAGAGAAATTTTCTACTTAAAGACTTCAATTCTTCCAGACGACAACGATTTCTGTGGTGGCTGTGAATTCGACCATTGGTCAAGCGAACTCTCGAAAATAACGTAGGAAGACGAACCAGCTAAGAAATAGCCTAAGCAATCTGCCTCGTATTTGAAAAATGTAATTTAGAGGCATCATTGCTGACATCCCTGCCCTACCTTCAGCCGTTCTTTATTTCTTAGCCAAGAAAACGTCGTTCAAATTTGAAATGTTAGTAGTACAAGGGATTAAGACTGCGTCCGGTCATCTCTAATGTGGTTACAGCACTACAGACAGTAAACTGGTAAACGGTATGTTGCGACGTTTCCGTTCGCCTTCTCGGAATGTTCGCCATTTTCTCATCGACCAGTAATCGATAGGGCTTTTCTGTAGAATCAACACTGTCTGAGCCATAATAATGAAGAAGAGTCGTCATTCGTTTACTCATGGCTACTAGAGTCCGAGCAACACTAGCGCTTACTGCCAACACTTGAATCCTCTGCTACATTTGCAACCCGTAGGTATATAAACAGGACGGGAAGGTGAAAGAAGTTAATGTTTAACTTTTTATAAAACAAAACGTAGTTATCAGGCCAGATTCGAACCCGGGATTACCCCTTCCAGAGGCTCACGTGTTGCCCTCTGCACCACTGAGGCCATTGCTTGTTCTTTCTTTCCAGCAAATAAAGCTGGTAAGTAGTAAATAAAAATAAAAAGGTAAACTAAATAAAAACTTAAGCATTGTGATTTAGACTGCATATTTAGTTTAACTAGGTTCAATGCCGATTTATGCTCGCCAGATCATTTCCATTGAAGGGTGATTACTGAGGGCACCGTTAGGGTAATAAATTGGTTAGTACTGCGTTACGTAGCAGAGGCATGTGTTGATGCTCCATCTATATCGAAAACTGGATGAACTAACTGTTGTGCTTTTCGAAAGTTTTTTTAAAAACTGACTAACACGGCCATCACTGACTGTCTATTAATCTCGGCATTGGTCGAACAATTCTTTATATTCTTGTTTAGCAAACACGAGTTGTGATATTATTTCTTTATTTGCGCACAAGCTGACGTTTCGGCAGATTTCGCCTTCCTTAGAGCCTCGAAAGGCCAAGTTGACTGCTATCTACCTGGCCAAACACCTTCATAACCAAACAAAGAAAATTCTAAATCAAGATTTCAATCACATTAAACACAGAAAAGCCTCTTTGCACACTCACCACTTTCTCTGAGTCTTTCTCTG